CCTCCGGCCGAGGACTCGCTGGCACACAGCAGGTCCACAGCTGCTGCCCCTGGAAGAGAGGTGTGCTGTTCGGCGATCAGTCGGCAACGGGAGGCAGAGGGAGGGGGGGAGGAGGGAGAGAGAAGCCCTCTCTCCGAGGCCTACAGGCGGTGTTATAAGCTGCCACCCCATGACGGCCTTGTGTCCTGGACAACATCTTGGTTCAACTCCAGTGACCATCAGGAAGAGGTGGGTGGGGCCAGGCAGCTCTGGACCGAGACTCTGGGCTTAGCATACATATAACATAGAAATACAGAAGGACCTCATGATGTCCCCAAACGGCAAAGTAACTTATATTAGGCTAACCTTTCTGTCAATTACAATGACAGATCTTGGAGAAAAATATAAAAATAACTGTTTTTTAATGTAAATAAATAATGTCAATACACAAAAACAGTAGCATGCCCATACACAAAAGTGAGATCTGAAAACAAACAATTCCTTTTACAATAAGATTGAAAGAATAAAATACTTGGGAGTTAAGTTAACCAAGGAGATGAAAGACTGGTGCAATGAAAACTATAAGATATCCCTGAAAGAAATGAAAGAAAACATAAATAAATGAAAACACATCCATGTTCTTGGATTGGAAGACAGGACAGCAATACCACCCACAGGGACGTGTGGGTACAAGGCAAACCCTATCAAAATCCCAATGGTTGTTCTTTGCAGAAATAGGAAAACCTATCCAATGATTTATATAGAATCTCAAGAAACTGCAAATAGCCAAAACACTCTGGAAAAAGGGAAACAAAGCTGGAGGACTCCCACGTCCTTATTTCAGAATGTACTACAAAGCTGCAGTAATCCAAACAGTGTGGCGTCGGCGTAAGGACAGACCAAAGGGATAGATCAATAGCAATGACAAATCCCGGAGAAAATACAAAAGCAACTGTTGGAGGGCACTGGAGAGAGACAAAAAGCTGGCAGAAACTGGACGAGGTACGACCCCTGAAATAGGGGACTTAATCAGGGCAAGTCCTACATCCATCCGGCTTTTCCCCTGAGGGAGCCCAGCCCACAGGGCACAAGCAGATTCGAGCTCGAGAAGAAGCCAGCAGTCTCCTGGGCTGGGGAGTCAGACATCAAAGCTCACGACAGCTGGGGAGGCTGGACATCGAAGGAGAAGATCGCAGGGGAGAGACCCCAGATCACACACGCTGTCACATGGACTCCCGGCCGGCTCCCGGATGGCACAGCAGGTCTCCAAGGAGCTGTACCGGAAAGGCAGCCGGCAGGCGGAAGGGCTCAGCAGAGCACTCGGCCAGAGCTGGGCCAGCAGAGTTCCGTTTCGCCAAGTCCAACTTCTAGGAGCACTTGGGTACTGGACTGAAGCCCCAGAAGAGGTCAGGACTAAGGACCGCATCTTTGGATTAAGATCCACACTCTAAGGTGAAGGGAAAGGAACCGATTTCCCTAGTGAAACCTACAGGAACCGAGGACCAACACGACATTCCAGTCATTTAATTACCCTGCAGAACCAGGGTAACACTCTGCCACTCGTTGTCCACAAGTCTGTAAGGAAGTGGGGTGGGGTCTGGGCGCAGCGCTGTGTCGGAGTGGCTGAGAGACCAGAGCTCATGTCGCCACCACGAGAGGAAGTGGTCATCATGCGGCACGACGGAGGTCCCAGCTGGCACGGTCGGGCAGTCACACTGCGACGTGGAAATGTATCGCCGCGTACACCCCTCAAGTTGCACAATGTTCCGTGTCGATCAAGTTTCAATTCAAAAAGCGACCTGACGGGGGATGAAGCCGGAATCTGTCCTCCAAGGTCAAAAGGAAGGTGTGGTTGCTAAGAACAGGTGCAGACAAGGCCTATACGCTGAAATGAGACGAGAAGGACCTTGAGACCTGTGTGGTACCCAGGGGCAAGCATCTGTGCTAGGACGTGTGTAAGGAGGGAAGAGGGGGGAACTGTTAGGAGAGCTATCATAGCTCTAAGAGCAAATGGGAAATTCATTTGATTCTACAATAGAAAAGGTTATTCAACTTGAAGACAAGGTGTTAGCGTCGGAATACACTGAAGCATGGGGGGAAAATTGGGGAAAAAACAAAGACAAACATGCTTTATTCACCTGCGGAACAACCTCGGACGACTTGACGTACGTGGGGCCGAGAATGGGGAGGAAAAAATAGTTCGATGGATTGTTATCCGAAATTTTAAAAATGTGATGGAAACATTAGTCTGCCAATCCGAGGAGTTCAGTAAAGCCAAGCAAAGTAAAGACAGAAGAAAACACAACTCGGTGTGTCATAGCCAGATGACCGAAGAGCACGGCTAAGAAAGACGCCTGGAGCCACCCACGCAGGGAAGGCACAAGGACGAACAGAGGAAACTGATTTCTCACCAGACACACTGAGGCCGGAGGCAGGGACGCCGTCTTCAAATGTCAGCCTGGGGTTCTGTGGCAGCAACTGCTTTCAGAGTGGAGTGTTACATAAACCACTTGCGTGTAAATGAAGACCGAGAATTCGTCTCCTGTGCGCCAACACCAAAACAGAAGCGTAGGTCCCCCAGCCCGGGCACAAAGGACAGCGTTGGAACGGGCAAGTGCTTGGGTCCAGACGATGACTTTCTCCTTAAATTCTTGAGAAGTCAGTTGACAGAATTAGAATACCACCGTGCAGCTCCAAAGGAAGGAGTAGACACAGGCATAGAGAAGCTGTGGTTCTTCGCACGGCAGAAAGAGATGCCGTCAGAAATGCGGTGCCTCCTGTTGTCTGGCCAAACACAACCGCCACCTGCAGAAGGCGCTGAGCCTGGGCCGTGCGGGCAGAGGACAGCGCTGTCACGAAATCCGCGCTGCGGGAAAGCCTCGGGTCCGAGGCGCCAGGCTTCCCACAGAGGATGGGAAGGAAGGGAAGACGGGGCACCTATGGGAGAGAGCATACTTAACGAACATGTCAAGTTTTGAAAATTGGGCAAGACTGGCCTGGAAAGTCCAGGGATTCATCTTTGAATGATAAACATTTCTGTTAAGATGTAATTACTATGAAAAGCAGGCCAGCGGTTATGCGTAGGGGTATGGAGTGGGGTGGAGGTTATTTTTATTTTTTATTGACAGTGTTACAGATGTCTCCCATTTTCTCCGCCCCTCTTCACCCAACATCCTAGGGCAGGCAACAAGCTCTCTCTACTTCTTGAACCTGGGCATGTGCCCAGAACAGATCATAAACCACACATTTGTTGTGTGTGATTTTCTGCATCTGTGTTTTATTTTATAATGGAAGTATTTGTAAAAAGTAAAGAGACCCTATAAATCAAAGGTACTAACAATTTGGTGTGGGGCTGAAAACACAGATACAAGTAAAATGACCATGACTGCCTGCAGACAGAAGACCCCTGAGGGACCCACGGCCAGGGCAGTCCAGCGCCAAGCAGAGAGGGTACACCTGAGGGCCCACACAGGGCAGGGAAGGCGGGCATACTTCTTGTTCTGACAACCAGACGGCCCACAAGTGTGCAGGAAGTCTGGCCCCAGGAGTAGAGATGAATTATCCTTAGCCCACAGGAGGCTCTGATCCCGCCTAACTACACAGAGAAGACAGGAAAGGATAAAACTGTTTCCAAGTAGCTCGACTAGACCTCAGAAATGTTCATAGAAACACAAGCAGATCCAGCACCCAACAAGTTAAAATTCACAGTATTTGCTATCCGACCAAAACCTCCTAGGTATGCAAAGAAGCAGAGCCGCTAACCCAAGCAGACAAGACAAGCATGTGACAGAGAATGGACAGAGATTACAGGACATTACAGCAGAGATAGGCCAGGACATTAAAACAGCTCTTACAACTATATTCCATATGTTCAAAGGATAGAAGGAGCCCTGGCCAGTTTGGCTCAGCGGTTAGAGCGTCCGCCTGCGGTCCGGAGAGACCCGGGTTCGGTTTCCGCTAAGGGCATGTACCTCGGTTGCAGTTTGTCCCCGGCCCTGGTTGGTCGTGCGGGTGGCAGCCACTCGATGTGTCCCTTTCACATCGATGTTTCCCTCTCTCTCTCTTCCTCTCTTCCCCTCCCACTCTGTCTGTACAAAAGGTGGAAAAGTGTCCTCGGATGAGGATTAAAAATAAAATAAAAAAATAAAAATAAAAAAAAAAAGGATAGAAGGAGATTGAACTTATTAAGTCATGACACAGAAGATGTGCAAGAACCCGAACTGAACCTCCGGAGATGTCAACAACCCTGCGAGATGAAGACAGAATAAAAGGAGCTATAGAGAACAGTAAAAAGATAGGACAATTACAAAACAGAGACCAGAAGCTATCATGAAATCAAATATCATTGGTAATCACTTTAAATTTAAATGTTCTCAACACCCCAGTTAAAAGATGGAGGTAAAGAAATGAAGACCGAACACGATGCTGCCTGAAAAGGCCTGGTCTCGATGTAAAGACACAAAGGGGTTAAGACAGTGAAAAGGGCATACCGTACCCGCTCATCACAAAAGCTAAAATAGGTACAAGCATATCCATGTAGATTCCAGAGCAAAGAACGTGACCAGGGATAAAAAAAAAAAAAAAAGTTCATTTCAATGATAAAGAGATCACCTCAACTCAAAGAGGAGGTAATAATCCTAAATGTTTATGGGCTTAATAAAGGAGACTCGGAACGCGTGAGACACGGGAGGGCGGACCGACCCCCACGAGGAGACGGCTGGAACACCTACACGGGGAGGGCGGACGGACCCCCACGAGGAGACGGCTGGAACACCCGCCTCTCCGTGAGCAAAGGCAGGGACAGGCATGAGCCGCAGGGACCTGGGAGACTCGAACAACACTATTAACCAGCTTGACCTGGCTGACATTTACAAAGCTCGTCCTCCTGAAGCGCACGCGGAACATTTATTAAGACGGATCCTATTCCCGGCCATTAAAATAAGATGTCAAGACATTTAAAAGGATTCAGGTCATATAAAGTACATTCTGTGACCACAACGGACTTAAGCTAGAGATCAATAGTGTCAATGATGAGAACTCATATTGTCTTGAAGAGAGATGATGATTCAAAGAAAAAAAATCAATAGTACAAAGTCTTCTGTAAAGTCTCCGAGTAGTCAGAAAAAATATAACACTCTGGCAAATACCCATGCGTCAAGGAAGGGACCCGAAGGGAGACTATAAACTATTTTGTAGCATATCAGAATTTATAAATTGTCATTAGAACAGCAGTCAGGGGGGATTTGTAGCAGAAAACACCAAAATGCAAAGAGGAGCAATGTTTCCAATCCAAGCCCTCTGCCCTCACCTCGTGGAGTCGGCAAAGCAAGAGCAGACTGAACGGAAGTTAAGCCGAAGTAGGAAGTGATCAAGATAGGGACGAAATCAATGACAGAGAACAGAAAACAATACAGAAGACCAATAAAGCCAAAAGTGGATTTTTTTTCAGATCATTAAAACTGGTAAAGCCTCTACCCAGACTGATCAGGAAAAAGAGGGAAGAATTTAGTTATAAATATCAATAACCAGAAAGATGACACCACCACAAGTTACGTGATTATTAAAGGCATGGCGAGGAGACATTGTGAACTTTATTCCAATAAATTTGACAACTTAGATAAAGTTCACAAATTCTTTAAATGCACAAATGACCAAATTTCTCTGAAGAGGAAATCGCTAAGTGGCACAATCCTTTATCTACGTAAAGAAAATGAATTTGTAGCTGAAGCTTTTGCACAAAGAGAACTCTTATACTTTTTGACAAAGAGCCACCACAGTGCGATGGTTTTGGGGAAGATAGTTTTCCCCATAAAGGACAGTGGGTCGATTGGATAATCACACGGGAAAAAGTAAGAGTTGACCCTTGCCCTGGCCAGTTTAATTCAGCAGTTAAGCATCGGCCCTCAGACCAAAGAGTCTCAAGTTCAGTTCCAACCAAGGGCATCTACCTCGGGTGCGGTTCGTCCCCAGACCTGGTTGGGGTCATGCCAGTCAATGTGCCCCTCTCACATGGATGTCTCTCTCTGTCTGCGTCTCTCCCTCCCTCCTTCCTGCTCTATCTGAAGATAAATGGAAAATTATCCTCGGGTGAGGGTTAAAAAGTAAATAAATAAATAAAAATTAAAAATAGAAAGAAGAGTTGACTCTCACCTCACTCATGGCATTTAAAAGTTGTCTAAAAACCACATCAAAACACCAGTTCCAGAAAAATCGATACATTGTATCGTATTGGAATGAAGAACTTGCACCCGTCAAAAGCCTCATATTCAGAATATATTTAAAGGAGAACTTCTATAAATCAACAGAAAAAATACTCACCACCCTATTTTTTTAAAAATAGCAGGTAACTTGAGCTGGAGCGTCACAGGAAGTATACAGAATGGAACAAGAATCAAGGGTGTTCAACCTCATTAGTCATCAAAAACATGTACATTAACATCACGAAACAGTTCCGCCGCAGAGTGGTTAAACTTCTAAACTGAAAATACTCAATGTTGGCAAAGATGTGAAGTCACTAAAGATGGGCAGCCGTAAGGGCATCACTGAGAGACTGCTCTGGCTTCAGTGTGGAGAGTCAACCAGGAGGGAGAGAAAGTCAAGGCAGGGGTTGGCGAGGAGGCTGGTAGTCATCTGGAGGTGGGTTGAGGCCTTGCCCAGGGGTAAGACTGCAAGACGAACACAAGTGGACAGTTTTCATAAATAGTGCAGAGGTAGCTGTGAGGGGTTCAGTGAGGGGCTGACGTGGGATGAAGGAGAAGGAAGACTTCCCAGTGTCTGATTTGGGCAGCTAAGGAGATTTCCAAATTTCATCCACCACTGTAGGGAGGATCCCATGGAAAACATGAGCTGGAATTTCGGTAGCGATGCTGGGCACCCAGAGGGGGGCATGTTCATGCCCCAGTTCTTCCCCACTTGGCCAGACTCCTCCCTTTCATCGCTCTGAATCAAGGCTTAACTGCGCCTCTTTGGGTTCTGTCTTCTGGCATAGTTAAGACCGTCCTCAGGAGTCTCATAAATGTCACTTTATTTTAGAAAACATCTGGTCCTTTTCTGTGATTGGAATTTAGTAAGACAGTTCATGTGGGTCCCACCTCCACAGGTGAGTAGGATTTAAGCAAGCCTGATCAGGAAGAAGTGGGCTTGAATGATCTTCGCTGGCGTTAGGGGCCTGGGGATGTCTGCCTCTTGCCGGGGCAGCCTCAGTTCATCCTACCAACAAGATTCTCCAGGAAAAACCACAGTGGACCATATACAATTACTGACATTCGACTGTTCTTGACCCACAAAAAGTGGCAATTTCATGGAATTCAACCTCGTCTATGCACGGGGACAGAGTGTTACTACATAATGAGCTGCGGCCCTTGGGAAATTCTCTGGGAAAGGTGGACCTGGGCCAGGCTCCTCTCGCCCTGAGGTTGGGGACTGCACCCCTCTCTGTCCAGCCACCTGGTGCAGACACTTGGAAAGAGAGGAAGCTGCTCGGGTGAAGCACCGATTAACACCTGTGAGGCCCAACTCGAATAGTGGGGACCTGCACTCACAGCATTTTTGTGGAAAAGAGGAAAGAAAATTATGAAGCAGGTAGAAAGGGCATGGGGCTGAGAGGTCATTCCCCTTGGAATCACCCAGTTATTGATGCCAAACATTGGGGGGGGGGCACTCTTGGCAATCAGTGAAATGTTCACAGCATCGATGCGGAGGAGACCTTGATCTACACTGAGATTTCCCGACTGCTCTGGACTGTGTGCACGAACACCGTCAACAATACTGTAAAAACTATTGCGTGTCAGACGGGCACTGGACTCGTCAGGGTGATCACTTTGTAAGGTATACAAAACGTCTAATCACCATGTTGTACACCTGAAGCTAATACAATAGTGTATATACTGCAATTGACAAATAAATTTTTAAATAATCATAATAAAGACTATGGATACACACACACAGAGAAAAACATATCACTGAGTGAGAGCTGGATGATAAACACCTGTGGTGTAGAAGGTCCTTTATAGGTCGGCTCTGCCTGTCCGAGTTTGCTTGTCTCCATTAGGAAGCAGATGTCCTGCCCTGGCCGGTGTGGCTCAGCAGTTTGAGCATCAGCCTGCGGACCAGAGAATCTCTGGTTCGGTTCCCGCTAGGGGCACGTACCAAAAGAAGAAGAAGAAGAAGAAGAAGAAGAAGAAGAAGAAGAAGAAGAAGAAGCAGCCTGGCCAGAATTAAATGGATCTTTTGGGGAGAAACATCTGAAGGATCAAGGTGGGGCTAGAGGAGATGACGTTTCACACCTGTGAGGAAAAGGGGGGAGGGGAGGAATGGACCCTCTGGAGCAGGCATGGCGGTGTCCACTGGATAGTGAGGCTCCCACAGCAGGAGATGTGATGTGAGGAATCTGTTTTGATGGCAGACCTCCCATCTGCCCGGAGAGAATCCCACGGATAATCGCAGGATATGAGTAACTGCCGCGGGGGAGGGTGGCTCGGCTGGGTGAACGCCGTATCATGCCACCGAATGTGGAAATGGCCTGAGCACATTTGTACTTTGGCAAAACGTATTCTTTGGAAGTGGATTTGAGATGCTGTATAAACTTCCTTCCATGCCTCCGTGATCAGCACAGGTTGTAGTGTCTCCAAATTCTTGCCGCGGGGCAGACTGACCTCTGTCGTTGTCTTGTTCCTCTCTGACTTCAGGAAAACCATTCAGGAAGAGGATGGAAGAAATGGCATGTCCTGGAGGTGGTGGATATGACATGTAGGGAGACCCAGGTTCAAACACTGACTCGGCCCCACCCCCTCACTCACCGTCCACACATGTTCCTTCCCCGAGCCACATTGAAAAAATGGCATTCCGCCAGCCTGTGTGGCTCAGGGGTTGAGCGTCGACCCTGCACCAAGAGGTCACCAGTCAGGGCACATGCCCAGGTTGTGGGCCTGAACCCCAGTGGGAGGCGTGCAGGAGGTGGCCCATCAATGTTCTCTTTATCGATGTTTCTGTTTCTCTCTCCCTCTCTCTTCCTCTCTCTCTAAAAATCAATAGAGAAAAAAATTTCTTTAATGACACTCCTACTATTTACCTTTCAGGTGGCTTTGAGAATTATACGAGATGACCTATGCAAACTGCCCGGCAAGATGCTTGGCGTGTTGTGGGCTCTGTCTAGTTAGAACGATCCTCTCTCCCTTTCTTCCATTCTCCTCTCCTCTGCATTCCACCCTCTCCAGTATAGCTGAAATCCAACAAATCATGTGATTTTTATGATTTAATGGGCGATAAAGTAGCAATCAAATATATAGGCTGATCTAGTAAAATGGCAAACCATAAATCGTGTGTTGAACACCCCTGGGCTCTTGGGAGGGTCCTGCCTGGGAGCAAAGCCGCTTTCAGCACCACGGACAGCGCAGCGCGGCCGCGGGCGGCTGTGGGTCCTGGGACCTGCTGGGTGACACTGGCAGGCACAGGACTCCTCTGTCCCTCCAGTCACTGCTGTCTCCTGCCTCGGAAGATGCATCCATTCCACGGAGTCTACGTCCTCCTATAAATATCTTTCATGAATATGGAATTGTGTATGTGTGTGCGTGTGTGTGTACACATAAATTGTCCCTACAGTCCTCTGCACTGAATGTCCTTTTGAGTCTCCACTCACTGTGCACCCCTTCAACCAATTGTCCCTACTCGTTTCTACTTTTTATTAATTTTTATTTTATTGAATTTATTGGGGTGACATCCGTTAATAAAATCATATAGGTTTCAGGGGTACAACTCTATAACACATCATCTTTCTATTGTATCTCCTTCCGTCATCATATAAGTATCCCCAAATACCCTCTTCTACCTCCCCCACCCCCTTCTCTTTGGTAATCCTCACACTGCCGTCTGTGTCTATGTGTTATCTTTGAATCCTTTCACCTTTTTCACCCAGCCCCCCAACACCCCTCCCTTCTAACAGCACTCAATCTCTGCTCTGTGTCTATGAGTCTGTTTCTACTTTGTGAGTTTATTTTGTTCATTGGATTTCACATACAAGTGAAATCATATGGTTCCTGCCTTTCTCTGGCTGGCTTATTCCACTTAGCATAATACTCTGCAGGTCTACCCATGCTGTTGCAAAGTGGAAGA